AGACAGGCACTAAATGTGTCATTTACTGGTGATTTGTATTCATAAAAGAGGTCATGTGTGGTGCATGTGGCCTGTGTAATGTTCAAGAGGTGGACAGGAAAGGAAAGAATCACTGCAAAACCCGGACTGTGCTGCCATCTAGTGGACAAGATGAGATGCCACGTAGTCTAACACACACAGAAGCCTGGGTTCTTCAATCTAATCTGTACGTAGACAGAATATATGCAGTTGGGTGCATAAGTTTTCACCCCCTTTGCAGATTCTGATAGATGTTTATCATGTAAAAATTATATATATTTCAAGATTTATTTTCTATTTAGTGCCCCCTTGATTAAAAGATTACTCCAGGTTCAATGCAAGTTAATCTCATTCAACAGTAATGATCCGCTACCTGTTTGTATGTTATGATACTGCGGATACAGGTCGGGCGGACCAAGTAATACAAATTTAACATTCCAATTAATTGCGGAATGCATAAACTCATTAAGCCTGTATGCTTGGGAGGCCCATAATTTATTGTGTGTGTTCGGGAAGTTGCAGTGACTAAAACAGCGACAATTTATGGTGGAAGAGGGTAAAGCCTGTATTTAAAGCTATTAACTTAATTTGCCATTTGAATCACTACACCATCAGCACCTATAATACGTGTTTATATTCCGACGATTTTAGACTGGTTCGGTTCGTACCACTGCGGAGTAGCCCAGTACCTGCGGGAGTCATTGGATAAGAGAGAAGTAACTCCGGCTAAAATGTTCTTCCGCAAAACGCATGCAGTTCTGTTTATTAACCGCTAGAGCGCCAAAAGTTACGGACAGCAGCTTTAAATATAGCTAAATGTTAATTTAACAGCAGCCTAAATTATTCCTGATCCTTTTTTGATGAGAAGTAAATGGTGTGAATTCGACTCCTCCGGTGGGACTCGACTCCAAAAAACTTGGATTCGAATCTGCTGCCCTTTTTTTTTTTTCTTTTTTTTTCTTGCAGATAGAACAAGAAACCAACATAGCATACAATTTTACAAAACAAGGAAAAAACATTAATTTGTAGCAGGGGATGAATATGCTACCCTTTTTTTTTTTTTTTTTTACAGCGCGCGCACCTGCAGGGACGTAGCTGTGACGTCTGCTTCCAAATGGTCTATACAGGCTATTTAACATGCTCATTAACGAAGTTGAGTGGTGTGACTGATACCTTGCCTGACGACGGTGATTTGCGAAGTTAAAACAACACCCGTGGAATGCAACAAAATTGTGAGTCTAAGTTAACTAAGAGTTATTAAACGACTATATCTAAAACGCATTACAGGGTGTTTGAGAAAAAAAAAAAGGAAGGTAGTCTATATTTCCACACTCTAGTGTAGGCCTGCATCAGCAGGTTCAAGATTGTATGGCTGTATTATTTGTTACGGTGGCTTTCATACCTGGCACGTTTGGTTTGAGTGGCAGTCCGAGTGCGACTGCAGCGTTGATCTGGTTTCACACTCATTTGATTCCATCGAACCCTCCTGCATTTTACTTCAACCATCATCACAAACATGCACGTCGTATGATAGAAAACAGAACGCGTTTTTTTATTATTATTATTATTAATAATTCGGTGCTATTATCAGGGCTGCCAACTCTCACGCATTCACCGTGAGACTCACGCAATTGAGCCAATTCTCACGCTCTCACGCCACACCCCCGATTTCTCACGCTGAAGTGTCAACCCGGTCGGTCAAATGCCTGAAAGATAAGTTTATCTATAGATCTACCAGTTGAGCCATTCGTGATCGACTAGTTTTACCGCAAATTAGTTAAAATATCCTGTAATCTATAGCGAGCGAGCGTGCATGCGAGACAGATGTGTTGAGCTCTTAACGGCGCGCTCCTAACCGCGCACGCGCACGACGACAGAGAGGTGATTAAGCGAGCTTGCGTGTCTTTCGCAACACAACCCAGTGGACAGTTACACTGTATTGAGACAGTTGAGAAATAATAATATTTTTACAGTTTTCAACAATAATTGTCATTGTTGAACCCTTGCTCTTATTATATTTCTGATTTCTCAGTTTTGTCATTATTTTAGCAAAAAAATTATTTTATATGTTTTGAGACGAGACAGTTTGTTTTAAGAAGTTTTAAAGAGTTAGTAAAAGAGTAAAGTAAAAGTTAAAACTTTTTTATTTAAGTAGGCATCTATTTTTTATTAAGTAGGCCTATTTATTTTGTATTGATACATAACCTTACTGTATTCATTCATAATGTATCATTATTGCGTGGCATTTGTGTCAATAATCGTCAAGCACAGGGGACTTCGCGTAGTGGGAGGGGGCCCCCAAATCAAATTCTGCTTAGGGCCCCCAAAAGGCTCGGACCGGCTCTGGAGACCAGACCGACAGTGTGAGTTTTTTGTGACAATTGTGAGGGAAATACACAATTTATTCCCATAAACTGTGTAGTCAGCCGTTCTCCCTCCCATCTGCACCGTGTGAATTGTGAACGCAGGCAGGTCAGTGAGTTACAGGGCGCTCCTTGTCTCCATCCAGTTTAGGCTCGTAATAGGCCTGTTATATAGTTTAGAATTAAGTTAGCAATAGCAGAGTTGTTTGTTTTGCAGCACTGAGCAGTTATTTTACATAACTTTATCATAAAAACAGTACAAAAGCATTTCCAGATGACAAATATGGACATGCCAAGTAGTTAATGTTAATTATTGTTTTCTAAGAACAGAATGTCAATTAAAATGTTAAATGTAAAATTAAATGTAATGTAAATCTCCCAAGAAATTCTGTACAGATACCAAATACTTTGACAATCAATATATACTTATACACTTCTGCTAATGCAAGGATTTTGTGTTTGTATTTTTCCCCACACCAAGCCATGCCCCTCAATAAGCCCCTCCCCCATAACCCAAGCCCCGCCCCCCAAAATCTCACTCTAAGCTGAACTCAAAAGTTGGCAGCCCTGTATTATGCGCAGTAAAGTGAAGGACACTTGAGTTTACTGTGAGTCCAGGGTTTGAAATTAACTTTTCACCCACAGGCCAATTCGGCTACTAATTTTTTAAGTTACCGGCCAATTAGAACTTCTACTAGCCAAAAATTAACCAGATTAACTACAGCACAGCTTAATATATATATATATATATATAATTTATTATTATTATTATTATATATATATATTTATTTTTTTCAAACATTTCTTATTCAAACAAAATCCTGTCATCCAGCAATCTCCTCCCTTCCTCTTTCGTTATTTTGACCAAAAATGTGTTTTATGTAGACAGATCAATACAGTTAAAAAAACATGTAGGATGTGGGAAAATAGCAATGACTTTTCTGTAAACCAAATGCTTTTTATTCTTTGCTATTGCTTCAATAAGTGAACAAGCGGCCATTATTTGTTGCTTAGTGACGTGTGTGTTCAAGTAAGCCAGATATGAGCAGATTCTGTGCAATGTGCTGTATTTAATATATCATGATGACTCGGTCACTAGTTTAGTATTTGCGCTAAATCCGCGCAGATTTGATTTACAGGAACTTCCCCAGCAAAGTGAGTAAACACGCCAAATTGGCTAGTGATTTGACAGCGTTACCAAAGTTCATTTGGCGGTTGTTAATTTCAAACCCTGTGTGCGTCCCTCAAAGACTTGCAAACGAACCCTTTTGAGGAGAAAGCTGATTCCACTCACTCTGCACGATTACACTACAGTCACTTTCGCTCGTATCATCTACATTGTTTTGTTGAATTAATGATGCTCATTGCTCAGGCTACTTTACTTCCTGAACAAGTGCGGACATATTTGAGTTGCTTTCACATTCACACAGATCAATCCACAGTTCTAGAACTTCCAGTGCAACCGAACACACAGACCACCTGCTTCTGGTGGTCTCAGGTCTGCATGATGATGACAACTTTAACAATACCGGTTTATGTGAACCACCCCCTGTTTCGAATTAAACAGCCAGTGTGAAAGCACCCTTAAAGGGATAGTTCACAAAAATGATCCCATTATTTACTCACTCGTCTCAAGCCATCCTAGGTGTGTATGACATTCTTCTTCCAGACAAACACAATTGGAGTTATATTAAAAATATCATTGCTCTTCCAAGCTTTATAATGGTAGTGAATGGCGGTCCTGATTTTGAAGTCTAATTTGTGATCGGTGTTTTGTTTTGTTGTATCCTTTGCGCTTCCATTCGTCAATACGTCAAGGGTAACTCTTTCGCCGTAAATTGATGCTTACGGCCATCTGTCGGAACCAAGTTTTTTAAAGTTTTAAATATGGATTTTTCATACACAAACACGATTGCTTTGCTTCAGAATGCCTTTATTAACCCCCCGGAGCAGTGTGGAGTACTTTTATGACGGATGGATGCACTTTTATGACGGATGGATGCACTTTTAGGACGGATGGATGCACTTTTATGACGGATGGATGCACTTTTATGACGGATGGATGCACTTTTAGGATGGATGGATGCACTTTTAGGATGGATGGATGGATGCACTTTTTAGGCGGATAGATGCACTTTTTTGGGCTTCAAAATCTGGACCCCCTCCCATTCACTGACATTATAAAGCTTGGAAGAGCCAGGACATTTTTATTCTTTTTTTATAACTCTGAATGTGTTTGGCTGAAAGAAGAAAGTCATATACATCTAGGATGACTTGAGGGTGAGTTAATTATGGGATAATTTTCATTTATGGGTGAACTATCCCTTTAATTGAATGTGTAGTAGGTCTGCACAAAAGACCCTTTGTACCACTTGACAACACTGCATACATAAAGTGGGATCCCAACTTCTTTGTCAAGATCTTGTGTGAGATTGTTTTGAGAATCAATTGAGCAGCAAGGTGTATTTACAGTAAGGCAAATGTGTTTCTGAATTTTAAATGTATGTATAGTGCTTTTCAGGATGGTGCAGACTGCAGATATATAGTGAAATTTTCTGAAACTTGAAGTAGGAAATAATGATTAATTTTCATTTTGTCATGTTTGAACAGGAGCCACTCCCATTCTGATTTCAAAAGATTCCAAACCGCTATTATTCTACAGTGAATTTTCCACTGGGTTTAAAAAAACCCAGAATGGCAGAATCTCCTTTTCATACTCAAAATCATTTAAAATGTCCGATCTGTCTGACTCTGCTCAAGAACCCAGTGACTACATCTTGTGGGCACAGTTTCTGCATGGACTGTATTAAGAGATGCTGGGATGTGGATTTTTATAGAGGGGTTTACAGCTGCCCTACATGCAGGACAACATTCAACCAAAGACCAGCTCTCAGCAGAAGCACTGTACTGGCTGATATTTTAGAGGGAATGAAGCAGAAAGCTCCAGCTAGGCCTGTGACATGTGATGTTTGCAAAGGAATAAAAGTAAAAGCCATCCAGTCTTGTTTGGTTTGTATGGCTTCTTACTGCCAAGCGCATGTTCGTCCTCATTATGAGTCTAAAGCTTTTAAAAAGCACAAGCTGGTCAAAGCTTCCCCAAATCTACAGCATCAGATCTGCCCTCACCATCATAAAGCACTGGAGGTTTACTGCTACAATGACCAGAAGTGTATTTGTGTAGTTTGTATGGGGAATCAGCACAGTGGACATAAAACAGTCTCCGCTGCAGCTGAAATGGCAAAAAAACAGGTAAGATGAGGTAATTTTATTTAATATATAAACTGTATGAAGATAGTTCTCAATTACATGCACTTCATTGTGCTGTTTCTACTAACTTTTTTTTTTTTAGTCTGATGCCCGTTTGAGATGTTCTGCCGTATTCAACAGTCGCTTAAGAACGGGATTCTTATTGATTGTAAATTCATCCACAGGAGGAGCTGAAAATAAAAAAGAGGGATTTCATTCAGAAAACCACTGACTGGAAGAAGGAGGTTCATCAGTGCAAGAAAGCTGTGATCTCTTTTAAGGTCGGTGTTATTGACCGCTAAAACGAGCGTTTGAACAAGATGAGAAATGGAAGTTCCTATTATAGCCTAACAGCTGCTAACAGATTAATGCTAACAACATACACTCACCTAAAGGATTAATAGGAACACCTGTTCAATTTCTCATTAATGTAATTATTTAATCAACCAATCACATGGCAGTTGCTTCAATGCATTTAGGGGTGTGGTCCTGGTCAAGACAATCTCCTGAACTCCAAACTGAATGTCAGAATGGGAAAGAAAAGTGATTTAAGCAATTTTGAGCGTGGCATGGTTGTTGGTGCCAGACGGGCCGGTCTGAGTATTTCACAATCTGCTCAGTTACTGGGATTTTCACGCACAACCATATCTAGGGTTTACAAAGAATGGTGTGAAAAGGGAAAAACATCCAGTATGCGGCAGTCCTGTGGGCGAAAATGCCTTGTTGATGATAGAGGTCAGAGGAGAATGGGCCGACTGATTCAAGCTGATAGAAGAGCAACTTTGACTGAAATAACCACTCGTTACAACCGAGGTATGCAGCAAAGCATTTGTGAAGCCACAACAACAACAAGCCGGGTACCACTCATCTCCACTACAAATGGGAAAAAGAGGCTACAATTTGTAAGAGCTCACCAAAATTGGACAGTTGAAGACTGGAAAAATGTTGCCTGGTCTGATGAGTCTCGATTTCTGTTGAGACATTCAGATGGTAGAGTCAGAATTTGGCGTAAACAGAATGAGAACATGGATCCATCATGCCTTGTTACCACTGTGCAGGCTGGTGGTGGTGGTGTAATGGTGTGGGGGATGTTTTCTTGGCACACTTTAGGCCCCTTAGTGCCAATTGGGCATCGTTTAAATGCCACGGCCTACCTGAGCATTGTTTCTGACCATGTCCATCCCTTTATGGCCACCATGTACCCATCCTCTGATGGCTACTTCCAGCAGGATAATGCACCATGTCACAAAGCTCGAATCATTTCAAATTGGTTTCTTGAACATGACAATGAGTTCACTGTACTAAAATGGCCCCCACAGTCACCAGATCTCAACCCAATAGAGCATCTTTGGGATGTGGTGGAATGGGAGCTTCGTGCCCTGGATGTGCATCCCACAAATCTCCATCAACTGCAAGATGCTATCCTATCAATATGGGCCAACATTTCTAAAGAATGCTTTCAGCACCTTGTTGAATCAATGCCACGTAGAATTAAGGCAGTTCTGAAGGCGAAAGGGGGTCAAACAGTATTAGTATGGTGTTCCTAATAATCCTTTAGGTGTGTGTAATTGTGCTGGTTAAATTAAAGTCGGTGGTCCTTTCCTGGTCCTGTTACTCTCTTATTGTTTTCTGTCTATCTCTAGTGTCCTAACAAATACATTTGGAAAAATTTGATTTGGCGATATGTTTGTCTGTCTGAGAGAAAATAAAAATCCCTTTGGGTGCCACTCAGTGGACATTTCACTTGGAATGTGAACATGTCACATGTCACAATCTCCTGAACTCCAAACTGAATGTCAGAATGGGAAAGAAGGTGATTTAAGCAATTTTGAGCGTGGCATGGTTGTTGGTGCCAGACGGGCCGGTCTGAGTATTTCACAATCTGCTCAGTTACTGGGATTTTCACGCACAACCATTTCTAGGGTTTAGAAAGAATGGTGTGAAAAGGGAAAAACATCCAGTATGCGGCAGTCCTGTGGGCGAAAATGCCTTGTTGATGCTAGAGGTCAGAGGAGAATGGGCCGACTGATTCAAGCTGATAGAAGAGCAACTTTGACTGAAATAACCATTCGTTACAACCGAGGTATGCAGCAAAGCATTTGTGAAGCCACAACAACAACAAGCCGGGTACCACTCATCTCCACTACAAATGGGAAAAAGAGGCTACAATTTGTAAGAGCTCACCAAAATTGGACAGTTGAAGACTGGAAAAATGTTGCCTGGTCTGATGAGTCTCGATTTCTGTTGAGACATTCAGATGGTAGAGTCAGAATTTGGCGTAAACAGAATGAGAACATGGATCCATCATGCCTTGTTACCACTGTGCAGGCTGGTGGTGGTGGTGTAATGGTGTGGGGGATGTTTTCTTGGCACACTTTAGGCCCCTTAGTGCCAATTGGGCATCGTTTAAATGCCACGGCCTACCTGAGCATTGTTTCTGACCATGTCCATCCCTTTATGGCCACCATGTACCCATCCTCTGATGGCTACTTCCAGCAGGATAATGCACCATGTCACAAAGCTCGAATCATTTCAAATTGGTTTCTTGAACATGACAATGAGTTCACTGTACTAAAATGGCCCCCACAGTCACCAGATCTCAACCCAATAGAGCATCTTTGGGATGTGGTGGAATGGGAGCTTCGTGCCCTGGATGTGCATCCCACAAATCTCCATCAATTGCAAGATGCTATCCTATCAATATGGGCCAACATTTCTAAAGAATGCTTTCAGCACCTTGTTGAATCAATGCCACGTAGAATTAAGGCAGTTCTGAAGGCGAAAGGGGGTCAAACAGTATTAGTATGGTGTTCCTAATAATCCTTTAGGTGTGTGTAATTGTGCTGGTTAAATTAAAGTCGGTGGTCCTTTCCTGGTCCTGTTACTCTCTTATTGTTTTCTGTCTATCTCTACTGTCCTAACAAATACATTTGGAAAAATTTGATTTGGCGATATGTTTGTCTGTCTGAGAGAAAATAAAAATCCCTTTGGGTGCCACTCAGTGGACATTTCACTTGGAATCTGCTGCTATACATAACTCCAGGTTCATTTCCATTTTTAATTGTTTAGAAGGGACTTAAATGATTTGCATTTATTTGTCATGAGATTAGACTTAATATTGGCTGTCAGCATGCAACCAGATAGTGCTACTGTATTACGGAAACTACCAGCAGGGACTAACCCGGAAAAACTGTCACTTCACTGAAACGAATAGAGTAGAATAGATTAGCTCCTCCATAATTTCACTGTAGGGCCATTGAATGGCTTAGATTAGTTGATCCTGCCTATTAATAAAGATTATGGATCAATAGAAGAAATTGTTAACATGAACTAATAATAAAAAAAAATCTTTTAAAACACTTTCTCAGTTAATGTTTCAACCCTTATCAATACATTATTTAAAAAAAAAATGTATGTTAATATTATTTCATTTTCCTGAGCAAACAAGAACAACCAACAACCGGTTTATTTTTAACTAACATTAAGATGCTTATTGTTAATGTTGGTTAATGCATTAACTAATGGGACCTTATTGTAAAGTGTTACCAAAATGTTGACCAAGTGTTGTGTGTGTTGTGACAGCGCTCTGCACAGGCAGCAGTGGAGAACAGTGACCGAATCTTCACCGAGATCATCCGCTCCATTCAGAACATACAAGCCGAGGTGAGAGAGAAGATCAGAGCTCAGGAGAACAAGGAAGTACGAGATGCAGAGAGTCACATACAGAGACTGGAGGAGGACATTGTCAAACTACAGAAGGAGAATAGTAAAGTGGAGCCACTTTTATGCACCGAGAATCACGTTTATTTCTTCAAGGTGGTGAAAAATATCTAGAGGATGGCTTTTTTTTATTTTTTTTATGAAATGCTGCATTGTTGATTTCTGACTTTTTGTAGGACTTTCTTTTGTTTTTCTTCCAGTTGCAGAAGTACTACTGCTTCTATTCCGGAGTTGTCCCGTACAATTCATCCAGGGATGTTAATACCCTAACATTTCAGAGAGTAACCCAATCTCTCTCAGAGCTGAAAAGCCAACTGGATGAAGTCTGTGAAGAGCACATGCGTGAAATATTATACGAAGGTAAAATGATATTTTCAACTGTCTTTTAGCCTTTTTTTTTGGAAGTCCGGTCTTTCCCAATTCATGTAAAAAGAGCTGAACTTTCATTTTTAGCGATATCTACCTCTAGGGTATTACTAATATGGCTGAGACTGGACGGCCTTGAAGGGACATTATTGTGGGGCACTGACTTGATTTAAATTATGCCATAACGGTGTCTATTATAAAGTCTGCTGACTGAAAATGTGTTTAAATCTCAGCTGTTCCTCAACAGCTGTATAATATTCATCATGATGTTATACATCATACATTTTATTTCAAGAGAAAATTCGCATTGTAAGTTAATGTGTGTCTGTCTTTGTAGTTGCTGATGTCCAAATATTCCAGGATGGTAAGGGGAGAAACATTTATTATTATATTGTATGCCATTCTCTTATGCTTTGGTTCTTGTTTTCTCAGTGGCAATTTTTTTTATAACCACTACTTTGGAAATCAAACAGGCTCGCATTAGACTTGATCATTTGTAGCACTTAAGGAGTAGTTTTTGCTGATAATTTACTCACCCCCATGTCATCCAAGATGTCAATGTCTTTCTTTCTTCAGTCGAAAGGAAATGAAGGTTTTTGATGAAAACATTCTAGGATTTTTCTCCATATAATGGACTTCATTGGATACCAAATGGTCCAAGGTCTAAATGACAGTTTCAGTGCAGCTTCAAATGGCTTTAAACGACACCAGACGATGAATAAGGGTCTTATCTTGCGAAATGATCGGTCATTTAAAAAATAAAAACGTTTAAGTTTTATAAGCACAAATGCTCGCCTTGCTCTGTTCTGTGATGCACGTTCATGACTCTCCTGTTCGAACTTGTTCATCAAAATGAACAAATCTTTTTTCGAGTCATTTCGTTCGAACGTTTTTATTTATTTTTTAAATGACCGATCGTTTCGCAAGATAAGACCCTTATTCATCGTCTGTTGTCGTTTAAAGCCATTTGAAGCTGCACTGAAACTGTCATTTAGACCTTGGACCATTTGGTATCCAATGAAGTCCATTATATGGAGAAAAATCCTAGAATGTTTTCATCAAAAACCTTAACGTTAATTTCTTTTCGACTGAAGAAAGAAAGACATGGACATCTTGGATGGCATGGGGGTGAGTAAATTATCAGCAAAAGTTTTTTAAAAAGTGAACTACTCCTTTAACTGTCGCACGTTTGCTCTTTTTACATGCATGCTTCATTTAAAAAAAAATAGATGATCTCTCAGAAGAGGAAGAAGAGGTGGTTGACGCGGGTTTATGGTAAAGGTATTTATTACAAATAAGTTTTGTACCTGAACTTTTTCTGTTGGAAACATCATCTTTTCAAAAATGTGAGTTTTGGTTGCATTTGCTGAGATGTTCATTAAACAAAAAAAAAGTCTAAAATAAATGACTAAATTAATGAATCTTTGGTGAATGTAATAATAATTATATATGTAAAAATAATTGTATATATGTTTATATATGTATATGTTTATTTTATGTAAGTTTGCTCCTTAAAGTATGAACTTTGATTGCAGGGACTTTGAGGATCAGATGCTTCCAGGTATACCTTGATGACCCTTCAAAACATCTGGACATCATTCTTTCCTATAGAAAAATAAAATGTCACAGCACCAAAGTTCGAGATGGTCTGCTTCCAAGTCCTTGTAAGACTAGATTGTTACATTACAGATTATATATTATGATTAGTAACATGTCTTTAAATACTATTACTCAGGTGGTATTTGCAAACAAACCTTAACAATTTATTTTTCAGTCAGCAAGTTAAATGAATTTTTATAGCACATTTAAACCAACAAATGTTGCCTCAAAGCACTGAACAATAAATCCAAACATGTATCAGATTACACACATTCACAAGGACAGTTCAAATTAACACTGTTTCCCATACAATACATAGTTCCATAGGCTGCAGAGAAAAGGAATGTCTTCAGAAAATACTTTTAGCCATTTAGTCCCTTACAAACAAATAATGAAACCTTTTCACTGGCTTCCTATTCGATACAGAATGTAGTTAGAGAGACCAGGGGCCTAAACCATGAAGCCGGTTTAGGTGGGGCCAGGTTGGTTTCGGTTTAGTTTGTGCTGACTCTGGGTTTTAGACCCCATGAAAGTGTCTCTTCTTTTATTGGTGTTCATAGCCATAAGAACTTGCGCTCCATGGCTAGCCTGCTTAAGGTTAGGTCATGTTCTGAGTTAAAGATCTCAAAGGGAAATTGGATCAATCAGTTTTGAGCACCATTTGTAGTTTCACTTCGGAAGTGGTGAGTTTTTATCTTCGAGTGACACTGTCACTCACATGAGATCCACCAATAGCAAACCACAACCATCCAATCAATTGCCCATGGACAAAATCAAGTTCCACAGTAAAAAAAAATAAATAAAAATAATCTTGTTCGAAAAGCCATTTCATTTGGATTAACGTCACATGGAAGAAAAGACTAAAACTCACTGGCTCCTATTCATTAACTGAAGAATATATAAATTAACACATTTTCATTGATAGCAAACTACAGTTTTCACCTCTCCTGTGTCACAATTCACATACTATTCCTCTTAAATTTGTCCAAACCCCAGTATGTTGAAAGTGATCAAGTATTGATCCAAAGATGCTGGATAATCTACGTTAGAATCCAGAGTACAGATCCATGCACACTTAACAGGTAATATTACCCACAACCCATTGCACGTTGGACAAGGATTAGAAGTACAAACACAAATAAAAAGTGTTAACTACAAGCTTTATTATATTTGATCTGCAACAGCATTGTGAACTTTTATAAAGATGCGTTTGGTCATTAACTTTTACATGCACCATGGTCTCATGAAAGACCCTCAAAATGTAATTTTAGTTCACAAAATCAGTAAATACTTTTAAGGCATAATTAGTAGATTAAGGGATTTGAACTGAGCTTCGTGATGCACTTCTTGTTTTGAAATAGTTCAACTAATTTATTTCCGGTTATGTATCATTTAAATGTGCTGTAGTCACAGAGCCGATCCTGGCATCCCTGGGGCCCTAAGCAAAAATCTGTTAAGGGGCCCTCCTACCTGACCCATGAGCCATGTAAACCATTTGCCATTGCCACACAGTCACACCTGACACCCCAGTTCTCCCACTACAATCCTCCCTCGTTTAGTTAGTACTAATGAAAATGTAATTCCTGATATCAGAAATAGACATATTTTATATTAATATCAATAATTCACATTTTAAATAGTACAAATTTAATTATTGATATCAAAAATGCATCCTGTGAATTAATAAAAGCTAAAATGGCTTGCCATTGCATGTCACTGTGTTTTAAATGATAAAAGCAATAATTAATACTTAATGGTTATTATTTACTGATTGATGTGCATCCATATTGACCAGTATGTCCAGCCAATCAACATTTTAAATGCAATAGTCAATATCAATAGATTGCTTTCCATCTTGCTTTATTGCAGGGTTGTAACTATTCTGATTTGGAGACTTGATAATCATCGTCTTGTTTTAAAGTGAGCGCCTAATGAAGAGTGCCATAACGCCCATATTGTACTGGTAACTGGTCCCCATAGATTTTTTTTTTTCTGGAAAGTGCGCGTTTCATTTCGTGCACGCGCATATGAACTCATGTTAACGCGCGACGCGGTTATCTTTTCCGAGCTGCAGTTTATAAACAAAAACCGTTGCCCTTTGTATTATCAAACGTAATTTCATGAAAGTGCGTATCTATAGCCTACCACGAATTTAATTTATCGTGCTATTTATACGCCAAAAATGTTTTTTGCGTGCATATGCTACGCACTGTAAATCTCTTGGGTAGGATTAGGGGTGTGGAGTGCGTGCATATTACACGCCAAAAAGTGCGTATCATATGCACGCAAAAACTATTTTTGGCGTATAAATGGCACGAGAAATTAAATTCGTGGTATAAATACGCGCTTTCATGAGATCGGGCTGGAGACAGACAGATAGAGAGAGATGCACATCAACTTAACTTTACTGTTCTGTTCTGTGCTGACATCAAACTTGGAGAGGAGAGAACACAAGTTTACCTGATCGCTGTTCCCGCAATTCACTCACATGGTGTTTTTCTCTCAGTTTCTCTTTTCGTGACCAGAAGGATAGTTCCGCTTAATTATCTCATCGATGTTGTAAACTTTGATTGACGCGCTTTGACGCGAGGGGGAGGCGGGGCCTTGAGTAATTTGCGGGGCCCTACGCAGCTTGCGTAGTGTGCGTATAGGGAGGATCGGCTCTGTGTAGTCACCTTGTTGACTATACGCCACCTAAAATGAGTGTCCGCAAGAAGATTTAAAACTCTGGACTTTTACAGTGGCAGGAGAAGAGATATTCTGACTGAGCCGATCTGAATGTATGTAATTAAACAGGCTAAGCGATTAATTCCCCACAGGGTGTCAGTGACTGCAATGCCAAAGTGTGCGAGACCTGAGGCATACGAACATTTATTTATTTGTATTAATTATTTGAATCACTATTTTGTGTCTTTTTTTCATTGTCAATAATTTTAGCTGTATGCATTTTACATGTTTATGTCCAAAATTCTTAATTAATATTCAAAGTAGTTCTCTATGTTCCGCTACGGCTTAAGATTGATTAAATTGTTTCAATTTAAAGCACATACCTACTGCACACTCATTCATTCAAATATTTTAAAAGACTGGAAGAAGAGCACAAACTTGCAGCGCACAGCAATCCTTTGAAATAAAATGAACAGTTGGAGAAAAACACTGTTAATGAGAAGACGAGCACTGGACTGATGCAGGTTAGGGAAATATATTTATTTATTATTCAGAATGCACAGTTGGAAAGAAAATATATTTTGTAGGCTAGGCTACTTTTAAAAACATTTCAGCTGGTTCAAGATAATTCATGTTAACGCAGATAGACATGACAGCCATAGAAGAATTGACTGCCATAGAAGAATAATGTAAAATAATAAACAACACCTAAAGCTGTTACAGGGAAACTGCCGAGTTGTTATAAGTAGAAACCTGAAGTAGTTGTACAAGTACACCATTGTAACTGATAGAATTGGACACTACCCCTTCAATTCGTGTCGCTGTACATCCTCCTCCTAATGGACGCATCGGGAACAACAGGGGCGTAAAACTGCCTGGATCATTTATCTACCGGCTCCAGATCTGCAGCATCCATATGCCTTTAAGAGCTGCGCACTATTTCTTTCTGTTCAGTTTGAGCACTTCCTTCTTTTGCGAAAAACACGAATCGCGCACTTATAAATCTGTTATATTTCTGTTGCTCATTTGCGCTATTATCTCAGTAACACGGTTGACAGTGGAGTGAACGATAGGCTACTGGGCCAACCAAGAAAGAGGTAATAAAAGTGTGTTTAAGGATCCCCGCACATGACATACAAGGGAAAAAAGTAAATTGTGCGCACGTGCATGTCAAGTACGCATGTTTGTGTGTATAGATTGAAAAGAAAACATTAGAGGTATTTTTCCACACTAACGTTACCGCAGGAAGTTATAGCTGTATTGTTTTAATTGTTGTGTTGTATAGGTCTACACAAAATACCTTTTACCACTACTGGGAGAACCTGACAAACACGGCAGACAACTTGAAAGCACCAAAATGGCAGACTCTCTCTTCGATCCTGAAAATCCTTTAAACTGTCCGATCTGTCTGAATCTGCTTAAGGATCCAGTGACTACATCTTGTGGGCACAGTTTCTGCATGGACTGTATTAAGAGCTGCTGGGACCAGGAGGATCATAGAGGCGTTTACAGCTGCCCTACATGCAGGATAACATTCAACCAAAGACCAGCTCTCAGCAGAAGCACTGGCTGATATTTTAGAGGGAATGAAGCAGGAAGATCCAGCTGGACCTGGAGACGTGACGTGTGATGTTTGCAAAGGAAGAAAAGTAAAAGCCATCCAGTCTTGTTTGGTTTGTATGGCTTCTTACTGCCAAACTCACATCCAACCTCATCATGAATCTGAAGCTTTTAAAAAGCACAAGCTGGTCAAAGCTTCCCCAAATCTACAGCATCAGATCTGCCCTCACCATCATAAAGCACTGGAGGTTTACTGCTACAATGACAAGAAGTGTATTTGTGTAGTTTGTATGGGGAATCAGCACAGTGGACATAAGACAGTCTCCGCTGCAGCTGAAATGGCAAAAAAACAGGTAAGTCAAATTTAATCTTACTTCTATGATAAATAATTGAGAAATAAGAATATCTTGTTTGTAAGAATAGGTAGCTCATGGTAGAAAATTTGTAAAAAAAAAAAAAAT